AATAATTCCATCCGTATATACCAATCGTATTGTTGACGGAATATATAGAATTTTGAAAAGAAGTAACGATGTGATGACATGGAATTTTGTCAAATAATTTTACCAACGAAATGACCGAGAGATTCAAACTAGGATCTCCATACAGTGATGTGGTCCATTCACAATCATAATTACCGACGGGGAATACTGAAGACACTTGTCTGTCGGTTATTCCATCGGTAAAAGCCAATATATACACACTCTGCCGACTTTCTCCTCCTCTATTTCTCCTTTTTGTTCACCATCCCAACTCTCCCTTCCCAAACTGTAACCAACCACCCATCCCAACTCTCCCCCTCTTCTCAACACAAGCATTCAAGTTTTTTATACTTTTATACATGGTCGCAACATCTGTTCTTCGATTAATTTATTGTGGATTTCATCATTTTTTGTAAGTAAATCTATCCTTTCTAGTTTTAATATTTAAATGTCAATTTCATTTTTTTTTATTTTTTTAGTATATGTATTTTGTTAACATATGTACTTGTTTTATTGTTATTTGTCAAAGAAACTTATAGTATGAATGTATAATTTTGTAGTTGTTATAGTTTATTTTAGATTTTGTCAAACTGTATTTGTTTATAAATTGTTGAAATTTTGTTTGAATTACACTGAATTAGATGTGTTGTGATGAAATAAATGATAGCTTGTTTAACGAGTTCGTTTTAATTTTTTTCAATTTTATTGTGGAATTGTGATTTCCATAAATTTATATATGTATAAATTTGTATGGACATTGATAATTGATAATGAATATTTAACATAAGTGCTTTTTTAGTTTTTCGGATAATGTCTTGGCAAACCAATATTTTTATAAATTTATTCATGTAACATAGTTAATTAATACATGTTGTCATTATAATTTTATAGAGGTTCGATAGAAGTCATGGATGATTGTTCATAGATGTATCGAGACTCACCCCAAGGATTGCAAATGATGGATTATCGTAATAGGGTTCATAATTTTATTAATTTTACAACATCTATTCAAAGAAATTTTACTGATGACAGTATTAGGTGTCCATGTAGGAAGTGTAGAAATATAAAATTTCTGTATCAATATTTTGTAACGACGCATCTTCTAATCAAAGAGTTCATAAAGGATTACCCGTGTTGGTATGCATATGAAGAGCTATTTTTGTTCCTAATAAGAGCATGGTAGAAAGGGTGGTTTGGTAAACTTCTAGTGCTAGCAACATGCATAAAGTTATAAATAATAATAGTAATCCTTACAGTAATATGGTTATGAATGCAATGAGAATGAATGAAGGTAATGTCAGTTAATGTTCAATCATAGGAGAAGAACCTAATGCAGATGCAGCAAGGTTTTTGATATGTTGAAAGATTCTGACGAATCATTATATGATGGATGCATGAACCACGGTAAATTATCGACTATAGCACAGGTGTTCACTATCATGTCAGATCACTAGTTGAGTTAAGCCGGTTATGATAAAATTATCGAATGAGCGAGAAACGTTTTATCTTGTGGGAACAGGCTGAAAGAGAACTTTTATGTTGTAAAGTCCATAATGAAAACCCTCGGTTTAAAATACTAGAAAATTAACATGTGTCCTAACTTCTGCATGTTGTACTACATTGAAAATGCTGAGATGATCGAGTATATGACATGCGGGCATTCTCGTTACAAACCCAGAACTGGTTGGGGAAAGATTCAAGTTTCATATAAAAAACTTAAATACTTTTCAATCACATCTAAACTGTAGAGGTTATTCATGTTATCAAGGACTGCTAAGCACATGATATGACACCAATTACATCATGCGATTGATGGTCCATCCTTTTGATGGTGAAGCATGGAAACACTTTAACAGTGTGCATCCTCACTTTTGAGTTGAATTAAGGAACGTGCATCTTGGGTTGTGTATAGACAAATTCAACTCATTCGGGTCATTTGCTGCTCCTTATTCTTGTTGGCCGGTCATACTAACGATTTATAACTTGCCGCCGAGGATGTGTATGAGGTTGGAGTTCATGTTTTTATTTATAGTCATACCAGGTTTGAGCTATCCGGGCTGGAATGTAGATGTTTGTTTTCGACCATTGATTGATGAGTTGACGCAGTTGTGGTCCTCTACAGCTTTGACTTGTGATATCTTGAAAAAACAGAATTTTGTTATGAGAGTGGCATTGATGTGGACTATCAATGATTTCCCAGCTTATGGAATGATTTCGGGTTAGAGCACGCATGGAAAAGTAGCATATCCATACTATATAGAAAACAACAAGGCAGTCACGTTAACAAACGGGGGTAAAACTTTTTTTTTTACTGTCATCGTGGTTTCTTGCCACCAAATCACAGGTACAGAAAGAATAGAAATAATTTCTTTGTTGGCAGAGTTGAAAAGGATGTTGCACACCTATGTCTTTCTAGTGAAGACGCATGTGTGGAGTCAAGACTGTTAAAAGATGGTATAACAGTTCGTGGACAACCATGCTCAACACTTGGTGGTATGTTTGTTCAATCATTTTATTTTATAAGTTATTATTTTCTTGAATTGAATATGATGATTTTTTTTTAATTTTTAGGAGATGTTTAATAACCGATTGAGGGAGAGATAGGGGGACAATCCTTCAACCATTCCGGATTTGTGGATGGAGGTAGAATCGTCTGATGGACAAAAAAAATCAGGTCTGTAGGCTTTCTAACACTACGACCGAAAACTTGCAGGTAGCCTGTAGTGTCTCAACCGTTGAGAGCTCTCCATCAATATCGAGCACACAATCTGAGGAGTTCATGTCCTTGAAACAATAATATGAATGACTTTTGATGAATTATGATTAGCTTCATCAAATGGTTATGGACATTCGATCAAGGTTGAATAATGATGCATGTGCATCATTGTTTTGGCTGTATGGTCGCGGGAATAACCAGTCTCCTTCTTCTTCTCCTCCAGCTCTGCCATTAATTTAGTTTAATTTTGTTTTTGAAACATATTAAATTTGTAATGAATATTTAGATGAATATTATTTAACATTATTTTTATTTTTTTAATGTTTAATACAATTTTATTTGGTTAATTAGTTTTTGTACTATTAATAAATATTATTTTTAAAATATTTTTAAATAAATACCGACAACCTTACAGACGGAATTGATCGAGTCATCGGTATTTTATCAAGAGTTGTAAAAAAATTATCATCCATACCACAATCACCAACGGGTAGTCTGTCGGTGATTTACTGTTGGAAATGCAGACGAAATAAGTCCGTTGGTAAATTTCTCGCGACAAATTTTTTTATGTGCTTCCCCTATTTGTAAGACCGTCGGTGTTTGAGTTTTTGTCTTCCCAACCGAAGGAGCGATGGAAATGAAAGTTATTAACGATCAATATTTCGACAGACATATTCCATCGATGAGTTGATCGGCAAAAATGTTACCAACAAATTTTGTGTGTCTTACACCGGCAGAATGAATCCGTTGATAAAATTATTTAATGGTATAGTGTTATAAAGTTTAACATCCATGAACAGTATTAATTAAAATACAATAAAGTTCATAATGATTATTATAACCATTCCATAGCTAGCACCATCCTTGTTAAGAAATTTCTCCCTTGCTTTGACACTTGGCTACCTTGAATGTTACTAACAAATTTCCAAAAGATTTGTTATCAGCTAATCCATTAATTATACTCCCTTGCTTGACCACACGTTGCAGATTAGATGACAATATTTTCAAATGAGCTTTGTATAACTTTCTATTATTCATGCCTACCAAGTAATTCCATCAAGATTTTGAGACTACAAAACACACTACTAATTGCAGCACAACAGAACTTAAACAAGTTGATAATAATAATAATAATAAATAAATAATTAAGAAAAGAGGCAAGTGAATAAAACACATCCACGTCTAGGTCTGAAAGAGCGGCCATGTCGCGCCTAGCCTTCCAATGCCAGGCACATGCTCCTAACCTCTAGAAACAAAGGTCGTGCGCGCATCATCCTTCTTCTAATTTGACCAAAAAAATTGTTTTTTTAATAGAAACATGATTTTTTTCAATTAAAACATGTCATGTCTTGTAAAACAATCTTCAACAAAGAAATAAAAAAATAATGATTTAAAACTAATTTTATGTGACTATATAAAAAAATTAAAGAATAATTAATTCAAAATAATTATATATATATATATATATTATTCTCGGTGAATATGAAAAAATGTAAAGAAATAAAGTTTTATGATTGAATAATAACATTTGAAAAAAAAAATTAGGACAAAAGTGTAGAAAAATGTGCAACCTGAGTAGCAAAAACATAAAAATGCAACCCTTTTTTAACTGAACCCTATAATTATATTCCACGATGAGAATCTATTTGTAACATAGAAACAATTTCCAATAAAGAGTTTAGTGGCTCCTAGTACTGCTAAACTAGTGTTTGGCCTTATTATTGTTGAACCAGAGTTTTTTAAAATTTTAATTTTTTTTAAAAAATTAATTCTGTTATATTTTTGAATTATTTTAATATTAAAAATATATATTATTTTAATATATTTCTAAACCAAAAAAAAAAACATTTCAAAAAACAATCTCAATCAATTACCTAAACACCCCCACGTTGCAACCCAAACGGTCGTTGGACCAGCTTGTAGAAATGCATGCTATTAACACTTAAAAACTGACAAAATTATCCGAAATCAAAGTACCACTTGGCTATGTTTGGTTAAACTAACGACCAAATTTCACAGCAGAATCTCTGTTTTTTCCCATAGAAACGTGTCCACTTTATTCACCCCCACAGCTTCGCATTCTCCTCCTATTTTCTGTGACCTCATGAAAACCACTGCACCCCTTGTTTTGTAAACAGCCATTCCTAAAAGACCTTTCTACCCCCACTGACTCTCCCTTCCAAATCCCTCTTTTCCAGTGGCGCTTCGGATCTTCCTCAAGGGTATTACCATGATTTCATCTCAAGAAAGCTTAAATATATATGTGTTGCCACAGTTCATGATTGAAGGTGTTCCACTCCCTCGCTAATATCAACGCCGCAAGGCTTGCTAGCAGCTGCAGTCACCATGCAAGTCTCACACTTCCTCAGTAGCCACCAACTTTCCTGCACTACACATGGCCAGAAAATGATCCTCCACCGCTTCTCGCCACCGTCTTCCACCGTCAGATTCCATCCACCATCAGATCGGTCTATCACTGTTGCCGTGGCTGCTCCACCACAGCAACTAAAGCACCAAAAGACACACTCAATGCCATCAGAGAAGATGGAAATATTCAAGTCATTGGATAATTGGGCTACGCAAAATGTCTTACCACTTCTAAAACCTGTAGACCAATGCTGGCAGCCCCAGAACTTCTTGCCTGACTCTTCGTCAACAATTTCTGATTTCACTGATCAGGTGAGGGCCCTACGTGATCGGACGGATGGGCTTCCAGATGAGTATTTTGTGGTGTTGGTGGGTGACATGATCACCGAGGATGCTTTGCCTACGTATCAAACCATGATCAACACGCTCGATGGGGTTAGAGATGAGACTGGGGCCAGCCTGAGCCCATGGGCCACTTGGACCCGGGCCTGGACTGCCGAGGAGAATCGGCATGGAGATTTGCTGAGATCTTATTTGTATTTATCGGGTCGGGTTGACATGCTAATGATTGAGAAGACTGTTCAGTATCTGATCGGATCTGGCATGGTAAGATACCATACAAATTCCATTTATAAGATTTTTCTTTTTCGAATGCAATTATAAGGATTTATTAGCAAATGAATTTTCTTTATCCACTTTCTACAAGGAATCCTAATTTATACTTTTTAAATTCTTTTTGCGCACTAATGTAGCTTGATTAGTATTCGTGCCCCCTCCCAAACGGTCATATAAAACAATCCAAGGGTGTGTTTGAAAATAAATCAATTTAAGGGTGTGTTTGGAATTTATATTAATAAATTTTTATTTTTTTATTTAGGAGGTTAATGGGTTAACATTGCCTCTTTTTAACATGTAGGATCCTGGGACAGAAAACAACCCATATTTGGGGTTTGTGTACACGTCATTTCAAGAGCGAGCCACCTTTGTCTCACATGGCAACACGGCTCGCTTGGCTAAAGAGGGAGGTGATCCAGTGCTAGCGCGCATCTGTGGTACCATTGCATCAGACGAGAGACGCCACGAGAATGCTTACGCTAAGATCGTTGAAAAGCTCCTTGAGGTGGACCCCACGGGCGCAATGCTGGCTATAGGAGACATGATGCGTAAGAAAATCACGATGCCAGCCCACTTGATGTACGATGGGCAGGACCCGCATCTCTTTGAGCACTTCTCATCCGTGGCCCAGCGGCTTGGGGTTTACACGGCTGAAGATTATGCGGATATTTTGGAGTTCTTGATTGGACGGTGGAGATTGGAGAAGCTAGAGGGGTTGACGGGTGAGGGAAGACGTGCACAGGATTTTGTGTGCGGGTTAGCCCCGAGGATTAGAAAGCTGCAGGAGCGAGCTGATGAGAAAGCTAAAAAGATGAAGCCACTGAGCGCGAGGTTTAGCTGGATTTTCAACAAGGAGATCGCCTTGTAGGATTTCGTTTCAGTCTTTGGAAAAGAAGTGTCGTATCTCGTTTTCTGTTTCCTTTTTATGGGCCTTGGTTCCATTATAGGAGTAATAAGTTGGGCTTTTTATCCATAGAATATAGAATGCAATGACGTTTGAATTTCGCCGGAAAATGCTAGTGCTGAACGTCAAGACCTCGCATTATCATTGCACAAGGTAAGTGTAAGTCGTGATTAATTCTTTACTTGGTTCGGGTATATGAATTTTATTAAGTTGAATTAATTTTTTTTATTTTATAATAAAAATATAAAAATTAATTTAAAATGATGGAATAAAAATAAAAAGGCCCATAAAAGGCTTTATTATAAAAAAAGAGTATAAAGTATGGACCAGACACAAGTCCACAGGTCAGGTACACTTGCTATGCTAGTTTCTTTTCTTCTTGTAGGGGGCAAAGGACTTTTAAAGAACAAAAAAACACAGACAACATAGTATTTGTCAAATAACAGAAAAAATGACACTCCCTAGTGTTCAAACCCGCGATTCACACCTAATTATCGTCATGCTTTAATCAATTCAGTTATAGAATAAATATGCTATCAGACGATTAAAATAATATATTACTAGTGTTTGATGATATGCCATGGTTGATTTGGGAGAATCATGTCGGTGTACTAGTGTCTAAGTTGGACTTCGAGGATGTCTAAAACCTAGGGATAAAGTTCACTTGATCTGTCAAAATAATACAAACTAAATTTTCCCAAATATTTAAATTATGCAGTTGGCCTCACAAGACTTATCAGTTTAATAATTCTAAAAGTAATTTAAAATACTTGTAAAAATATAATTTGATTAAAACAATTTTAAAATAATATATTTTAAAAAAATTAAGATTATAACATATTAAATCAACTTGAGTTATCTATTAAGTCAACTATTAGCTTATGAGACTATAATAAGCTCATATATAAAAATTAAATAAAATATAAAATTCAATTATGTAATAACTCAATACTGAAATATAAAATTAAAAAAATTAATCCATCAAATTATGAATCATTTATAAGACTAGTAGAACCAGGGGCGGAGCTAAGATTATTTGTTAGTAGGGCCAAAAATTAATATAATAAGATATAATATTTATTTTAATTTATTATATGAGTTGTAAAAAAAATCTGTATAATTTAGTTTTATTCAAATAAATTACTACAAACATATAATGACCTTTGTATAAAATAAAAAGTTCGGAGTAATATCAAATTAAGTCAAAGCAACGAAGTTAATTTCATCTTCATAATATATTCATCACTTTAATGTTGTTGGTTTTTATATTTATCAAATATAAACATACAAAATATATAAGAAATATTAACTAAAGCTAAACATTATTTATGTTCGATAAACTTTGAAATAAAACAAAAATTAATAAAGAATGATTCTCACTAATCAACGCCGGTTCTTTGTAAATTGAAGCACATTGGAGTTGCTCAACTATAACTTTATCATCACACATTGAAGTTGGTTCACTAAACTATGAGTTATCAATATTTTTTTTTGAAAAAAATTAAATTCTTCTGATTTTGTTCATGGTTCAACCTAAAATCAAAATATATATCGTGAGGAAAAATTGATAATTTTGGTGGCTATGCTAAAAACAAAACATTAAAAAAAATCCAAGTATAATCAAAATAAATTAATAAAATATATCTAATTAATTAGAAGAAAAAAAGCACTATAACAAGAATTCAAAAAATAATTGGTAAAACTAGCCAATCTAAGAAAAAAATGAAGCAAAAATGGTAGAATTATATATATAAAAAAACCTCAGCAAATTATTAACAAACATCTCAAAACAAAATAAAAATAGATATTAAATTTAAGTTAATTTATTTTTTTTGATGAAAAATAAATTAATTGATAGCTCTACCTCAATCTTTCCTTTAAAACATTTTACTTATAAGTAGAACCATATAAAAAGTAAATTTAAATAAATTATGAAGTTTAATTTTCAATCAACTCAATATTGAATGATGAGATTGAAAAAAAAATTAATTAAAAAAAGAACACAAAAGAGTGATCCTATTCAATTCGAGTTGATTTACCAAAATCATAACTTGAGTAATGAGATTAAGATAACCTTATAGAAAATAAACTAAAAAAATAATGTGAGTTAACATGTCAAACCTACAACGTAGATCATTAAATTATGATAATACCATAAAATGAAATTGAAAAAAATTATAAAGCTTAATTCTTAATCAACCCATTGTTAAAGGATGAAATTAGAAAAAAATTCAATGTAAAAAACGAACATATTAAAATGATCTAGGTCAATCTGAGTTAACTCACAAACTCGTGACCTGGGTTATAAAATCAAGATAAGCTCATAAAAAACAAACTAAAACAAATCAAAAGGTATATTTCTTAATTAATATGATATTAATTGAAAACCGAGTCAATTAGGTTATGATAATAAAACAACCATAGAAAAAGCAAATCACAACAAATTGTAAAGCTTAATCTTCAATAAATTAAATGTTAAATAATAAAATTAAAAAAAATAAATTAAAAAAGAAAAACCATTACTCCAGTAAATAGTGCTTTATGAGGTGTTCATTGCACTAAAACATTATCTCTTTTAGTTTTTGTTAATAATTAATGCACACTTTTCTATAATAAGACATGATCATAATATGAGAAAAACAAGCCCACTTGCTAACTAGTGTATAATATATGCTAGTAGCCTTTTGATTTAAAAAATTAAAAACAAAACATGAAAAATATCAAAATGCTCCTCCATGGCTCTTTTAGTTACACAAAATATTCATGTGAAAAATACTAGAATACCACTAAAGGCAAGACTTTTTTTTTTGTGTCTTTTTTAAGGTTAAAACATTTTTTTACTGGACATGAAAAGTGAAAAAATCTAAAACACTCTTATTTAGCAGCTCAATAATTTTTTGATCTTAGAGGAAAAAATATTTTTGCTATTACGAAGCTTGTGAAATGTCAAAATAAAATTTGGTCAACAATCCTAAATTTTACCCACTCTATGGGTAAAATAGTATTTATGCCATGTTATAAAAATTATAAAAACATGTATACTTTCAAACAATCTTTTGATGACCATTAAGCTAAAAAAAAAAAACTCATGCTTAAAAGCTTAAATTTTCTTAACTCAAGGTAAAATAATAATTTCACTATAACAATCCTATAGAATTATAGAAAAAACTTTATGTGTTTTAGCTTTTTTGTAATTAATATGGGTATTTGAGTATGTATCTCGACTAATCCTATTAACCCTAAAATTAATAATTATGTAAGTCTCTAATGATTAAAAAATTTATAAGACTTGAATTGATAATTTTTTAAAAATAAATTTAAAATTTAATCAATTAAGTTATAGCTATTATGATTAAATGATTAAATGTAACTATTTAAAAAATAAATGGATGGTAAATGGATAACAACTTAAGGTAAAATAATAATTTCACTATAAATTATAGTAAAAACTTTATGTGTTTTGGCTTTTTTGTAATTAATATGGATATTTGAGTATGTATCTTGACTAATCCTATTAACCCTAAAATTAATAATTATGTAAACCTCTAATTATTAAAAAATTTATAAGACTTGAATCGATAATTTTTTAAAAATAAATTTAAAATTTAATCAATTAAGTTATAGCTATTATGATTAAATGATTAAATGTAACTATTTAAAAAATAAATGGATGGTAAATGGATAAGGGTAAAACTGAAACATGATTGGGTCATCCGACACTAGCTCATAAAATCTAACATGTTTCTCTGCCTTTACAGCGTTGCCAACAGGAAAAGAAATAAGTCGTTTTCCTGTCTAGAAAACTTCAATTTTAAGGTAATCTGGTCCTCGTTTCAAATATAAATTCTCCCCTGCAAAAGTCACAATCAAGGACTGTTTCGCTATGATTGTTGCAAACGTTAAACAAAGAAAATGACACTATAACAGAAAGCAGAAATGATACAACTTCGGCTCTTTTCATCTTTCATCGAGTCAAACATACCGGGATCCATTAACTTTACCCACTCTAAACATGAAAATCCGAGTCTCCTGCCTTCATGATAAGCAATGATAATCCATTTTTTTCCTTTCGGCTACCACTAAGTCCATGTACTAAGATACTCCATGTTCATGTCCTAACATATTTTCTAACGACAATCTAATATAACCGTGTATTTTTGGCCACTGAATATCCAGCCTCTGCAAGTCTCTGTCCCCGGGAACGTTCACAGCTCTCAGAGGTACCACTGATCTTGCCAATTGCAGGCTATATGATGACCAGATCCAACATCATTACGGGTTAGCATGCTGTAATGACATCACTTTGTCCTATATATGATCGATATGAAGGTGGAAAACTTCTTTCTTCCATATATATGCTCTTCAACATCGGTGATTACCTAGCCTTTCCTTATTCTCACAGGCCTAGAAATATATAGTAGATGAGGGTTACCGGCAAGGAAACCAACATGCCGAAGATTACCCTGCAGAAGTGGAAGCACAGTTAATACACCGAGAAGGTAAAATTGAGCAGTGATCAGTAACAAAAATCTAAAATCCCCCTCTAATTCATGGATCTGGGTCTATACAGAAAGCTCAATTCCCATATACTACTAGATATATTAACTTCAATTGGGACCTCTTCTCAAATTGAAGGTCTAGCTTCCTGACTTACCCTGTACTCATTATATCGGGATGCAACCCGTATTCCCTTGCAAAGACGAATGGCACAATCCCTTGTGAAAGAGCTGCCTGGCATTGTATGGTAACATTATTTCAAACTCTGTGTAAGAGAATACTCAACAAAACAGATGCATTCTGTCAACTAATATTTCTTAATTAGCCACGAATGTTCGTGTCGTACCTGCACTATGGCCGCACGGAGCCGCACTCCTCTCATTCCAACAGCGACCGAAGTTGTCGACATTACGATTGGTCCACAAATGAATCGGATTGCCATTGCCATTGTTGCCCTTTTCTTGCCGCATACAATTATCCGAGGCTGAAGAGCCATGAACAACCCTGCGATTTTTATTGAATATTTTCATACAAATTACTGGATCAACAGTGCTGGTGGTTATAAGGTGTTCAATATACCTAAACTGAACATGGCCATCCCAA